TATCCACAGTCAGCTGGCGCACACGTGATAATAAAATAAATACAATTTTTACTATATGGGGGCCGCCATCTTGAATGCAGCGTAAAACTAAATTCTTGACAAGTTGTGAAACGCATTTTTCAGATTTCTACAAATCAGGACAAAAATACCAATCTTTCACAAAAATACGATCCATTGGGATAATATTGAGCCAGCCGATAACAAAATTCGGCCAAATGGGTCGATATTGTGTGGAAAAATTCATTAAATACGAACACCTAATTACACGAAGAAGATAGAACACTTTCCTTGGGTATTTGAAACCAAAAATCGTCATTCCAGTTCAGCGGCCAATCAGCGATGGCCTTACAGTCAGATGACAATTTCGGTTTCAAATATCCCAGGTAAGTGTTCTATGTTCTTCATGTAATTAGCTGTTCGTATGCAAGGGATTTTTCCACACAAAAACGCTGAATTGGGCTGAATTTTGTTATTGTTTGGCTTAATATAACCCCAACAGATCGCATTTTTGCATCTTGAATTTTCAAGGTGAATGTTCCGACGAAGCACTCCACTATCACCTTGGAGTATTTCATTAGGACTATGTGTATGTGACAATGCCCTCACAGTTTAGAATCAATTTACGAACAGCCAATCACATTGCTTCTTTCTTTAACGCGCTTGGCCAAGCTATCAAATTCTTCACGAGACGCCCCATGCTGCTATTTAAGACGCATTCCACTCTACTATGTATTTCTATGGGCTCTGTGAGAGCTGCTGTGAAGCACCGGTCGAAAAGTCGGTGAAAACAGCTAAATTTGAGAAAACAGCACAAACTTAACTTTGAAGAAATCCTAAACAACCAAATTTAAATATGTTGCATATCTGGGGGTAATCTTGTTACACTGTTCAGGGGTGTCAACGACCATCCCAAAATACTGTTTTCTTAGAATTTATTAGACTTTGTTTTCACCATGATGGTTGCCAGACGGTGAAAGTGCCTGACCCGAGAATAAATTTTGCTGCGCACAGTGGAAGCTGTGTTGGCTTGGATGTCGAGGCAATACAGCGACGATATCCATACATCATGCAACTCACTGATATTCAGACCAAAGCTATTCAAAGCTATACTTAGTGCCGTGTCTGATGTGTTCGTTGTTAGTTGCACTGGAAATAGTAAATCCTTATGTTATTATGCTTTACCGGCCTTGCGACCATCGAGCGTGGTAATAGTGTTGTCACTACTGTTGAGTATTATAGAAGAGTATGTGTTGTACCTCAAAGTTCATGATGTCACTGCAACATATATCGGCAGAAATGAAGCCGAAGACCGTTTCTGGCAGTCATTGTAACAAAGCTTTCTATTGGTCGGTAAACTTTCTATCTCACAACCACGTGACATACACGGTTATGAATAGAATTACCGCACGGTGTTGTAGAGGAAGGAATATTCGAATGGAACAACACCGTGCAGGCGGACAATGCATTTTTGTGAAAGATTGGTATTTTTGTCCAGATTTGTAGAATTCTGAAAAACGCGTTTCACAACTTGTCTATTATTTAGTTATATGCTGCATTCAAGATGGCGGCCCCCATATAGTAAATATCGTATTTATTTTATTATCATGTGTGCGCCAGCTGACTGTGTGTATATCTAACTGGATATGTGCTAGGTGAGTTGTGATTGGTCGCTTTTTCTTAACTGCATTTGCCAATGGTGTATATCTAACTGGATATGTGCTAGGTGAGTTGTGATTGGTCAGTTTCTCCTGACTGCATTTGCCAATGGTGTATATCTAACTGGATATGTGCTAGGTGAGTTGTGATTGGTCGCTTTTTCTTAACTGCATTTGCCAATGGTGTATATCTAACTGGATATGTGCTAGGTGAGTTGTGATTGGTCGCTTTTTCTTAACTGCATTTGCCAATGGTGTATATCTAACTGGATATGTTCTAGGTGAGTTGTGATTGGTCGCTTTTTCTTAACTGCATTTGCCAATGGTGTA